CGACCTAAAGGTACCCATGCCGTTACCCTCAGCCCATTTCCCATTTTATTCTGGGTCTCCTCGGAGGCCCTCGTCGCCACTGCTGGGTTCGCCTCGAAATTTCGGTCAGAACGCACCCCGAGGGAGGCCTGGGGAGTTCGGTGCCTTTTGGTCTCCCCAGGTTTTGTTTTTGTCGGGGACATCTTGTGGTGTGGGGCTCTCGTTTTGAATTCGCAGCGCCCCGCGTCCCCCCTGCAACCCATGTGGAGATGTCGACCCCCTTCTCTGGGGCCGCTTTGTCATCCCGAGGAGTTATTGTATTGCCCTGGAGCCAGGATATGGTTTCCAGACGCTGAAAACGCAGCATAAGCATGCTGGTTTCTTGTTCTTGCGGCGCTCGAGTCGTTGCTGGCTCCCCCCCGAAAGTCGAATAGCAGATCCGCGCGCATCTCCGAAAATTTGTGCTGATGCAGTTCTTGTTGTTATGGACTGGTATTGGCTAACCTCGCGCGAGTTTGCATCGTGGCCGCGATTTTGTTGAGACATCGGCGGATCGAACACCAGAATCTGCCATTCCAGTCAGCTTGTTCAGCATGCTTCATTTCGGCCTGTGCGTTTCTCGCCCGCAGTCCCAGATCAGACTGCACCGAGTGAGACGAGAGGATTGATGCTCATCGATGGTTCGCGTCCTCCGCTGTGCCCTCCTCCCCTCTCTCCGAAATAGTTCCGCTTGAAATCGAGAGTACAGTGGAGACCCATGCCAAGAAACACCCTGCTCGCCTCCAGGGTGCCCTGGGCTTCTTGGACTTTGATACTTTTGCGATGGAAAGCGTGACGTTCCCACACCAAAAATCAATGGACGTCCTGGAGTCTCGGGGGTGAATTTCTTGTGGAAGGTTTCGCGTGGTCGATCACCTACTGTACCGGTACCGCTACCCCTCCGCCGTTTTCGCCCGTTGGGGCCTTTGGGGGGCCCTCGTCGCCACTGGTGTATGCGCCTCGGAGTTCTGGTCAGACGCACCCCCGGAGATCCGGGGAGTAGCGGTCGGCATCGGCATTTGTGTGTGTGTGTGTGTGTTCCCCGTGGACCGTGTCGACCGCTTCACCATCGCTTCCTGCACCACCCATGTCGGGGATCACACGCTGCACTCTCCAGCATATGCTTCCCAAGTTTGTCGCGACGTGTGATGTTCCAACCTGCTTCAGCCTCGATCACCAGAAAGAATTTCTGGCACCAGAAAAGTACCGAAACTTGAGGGTGTTCGCGTGTCGGGCCCTGGGAGGCGGTGCTCGTTCGACACTGCTTCGACGTGCTTCTGGGTGCTCGAAATGATCTCTGGGACTTGGCCCTCAAGTGCGAGGGGGACCAACAGAAGTCGCGACCCTCCTCGGGGAGGCCCCTACTGTACACATTGCTGATTTCTAATTATTCGAAAGTTCTTTGATTTTTTTGGGGGGCCAAGATCCTTTCATTTCTAATTGTTCTATTGTGGGCCTCTTCCTGGCCACTAGGGGGCCAGGAACAACTAGAACTGAGCACAATTAGAAATGAGCACGACTAGAGATGAACGACCTGCAACTCTGCTGTTCCTCGCTCGCCGGCTCCTCCCCGAGAAGGCCGGGCTGCACCTCGCCGCGGCCCTGGCCCAGAGGCTGCAGGACGGGGACCCCGGGGTCCGGGAGGCGGTTGCCCTGGCGCTGCACGGCCTGGGCCACGAGGCGGTGTCCAAGCACGCGCAGGACTGGGAGGAGGAGGAGGAGGAGGAGGAGGAGGAGGAGGAGGAGGAGGAGGAGGAGGGAGGAGGGGAGGAGGAGGAGGAGGAGGAGAGGGAGAGAGGAGGAGAGAGGAGGGGAGGAGGGGAGAGGGGGAGGAGAGGAGGAGGAGGAGGAGGAGGAGGGGGAGGAGGAGGAGGAGGAGGAGGAGGAGGAGGAGGAGGAGAGGAGGAGGAGGAGGAGGAGGAGGAGGAGGAGGAGGAGAAGGAAAAGAGGAGGAGGAGGAGGAGGAGGAGGAGGGACGGAGGGACGGAGGGAGGGAGGGAGGGAGGCAGTTGCGTACTTTCGGACGGATGATCGCTGCGCTAAGGCGAACGCCACATACATACATTTTGCTGAGAACGGCTCCCTCCATCCCAGCAAGTGTTGCCGCGATTTCAGACGAATGCGCGCGGCGCGATGGCAAGAACCACATTTGGAAAAGGAGCCGCTCTCCATTCTTGTAATTACTGTAAGCTTTACGATCGAATGTGCGCGGCGCTCAGACGACAGTCACATTTTGGAAGCTTGTGCTCCATATGTTCACTGTCGTACGATTTGATGAATGCGTGCGGCGCTTAAGCGAGATCACTATACATTGCATGTCGTACATCCTTGCAGCTGTTATGAAGTTAAGACGGTTACTTTCGGTGCTCAGGCAAGAGCCCCGATAACGATCCGCCCTTCACGCCAGGCCCGCCCTACCGACACGCGTGGGTGTGCGACAGGGATGAGTTACTCATGAGTGAAGAAGTGATGGAAGAGGAGGAGGAGGAGGAGGAGGAGGAGGAGGAAGAGGAGGAGGAGGAGGCAGCCTAGCAAGTGGGAGCGGAAACGGCAGTGAGGTGCCCCGCACACCTGACAGGCTCCTTTTCCAGCACGGCTTGGCAACTGGGGGCACGTCACCTGAACGCCGCCCACCTCTGCCAGTATCGATGTTCGAAGCCTCGGTGTGATCATCGGAGCTTTCTCGGCTCGTTGCGCAGGAAGGAAACGAAGACCAGAGTAAACCTAAGATGCGCCAGCGATGCTGCGATACACCCTCCCATCCCAAACCCCTGTAAGAGTTCAACTGTACCGCGCATTCTCCCAGCAGCCTCTCTCGATGCCCCGACGACAACGGCACGACGGCGGCGACGGCTGCGACGACGGCAACGGCGACTGCGACGCCGACGGCGATCGCGTCGACGACGATGACGCCGCCAACGACGACGACGACGACAACGAGGACGGCGCCGACGCCGCCGCCGACGCCGACGCCGACGCCGACGCCGACGCCGACGCAGCCGCCCACGACGATTGCGACGACATCGACGACGGCGAAGCCGCCCACGACGACAACGCTGCGACGATGACAACGACGCCTATTGCTGGTCCCCAGCACATCATGCCTGGAATATCGAGTGGGGAAGGAGGAGGAGGAGGAGGAGGAGGAGGAGGAGGAGGAGGAGGAGGAGGAGGAGAAGGAGAAGGGGGAGGAGAGGAGGGGAGGAGGAGGAGGAGGAGGAGGAGGAGGAGGAGGAGGAGGAGGAGGAGGAGGTGGAGGAGGAGGAGGAGGCGGAGGAGGAGGAGGAGGAGGAGGAGGAGGAGGAGGAGGAGGAAGGGGAGGAGGGGGAGGAGGAGGAGGCGCTCTGGCTGACCCCTGTTTGCATTGACCTCCGTCTCCCGAGCCCCGAGAGCGTGCCCCGTCCCCAGCACATCGCGCGCAACCTGCCGAACCCGCACAGCGGCGTCCGCGCCGCGGCGGCGCGGGCCCTGGGCGCGGCCGGGGCCGCGGGCCGGGCCCACGCCCCGACCATCTGCCAGATGCTGCTGGACGAGGCCCAGCCCCTCCTTCTCCTCCTCCTCCGCCTCCTCCTCTCCTTCTCCTCCTCTCCCCTTCCTCCCCTTCCTCCCTCCCCTCCTCCTCCTCTCCTCCTCCTCCTCATCACTCTCTCCTCTCCTCCTCCTCCTCTCACCCTCCTCCTCCTCCTCCTCCTCCTCCTCCTCCTCCTCCTCCCTCCTCCTCCTCTCCTCCTCCTCCCTCCTCCTCCTCCCCTCTATTCCTCCTAATCTCATTCATCATCATTATCATCAATCATCATCATCATCATATCATCGTCATCGTCATTCGTCATCATCATCATCATCATCATCATCATCATCATCATCATCATCATCATTCATCATCATCATCATCATTCTCCTCCTCACCATCCTCATCCTCCTCCTCCTCCCTCCTCCTCCTCCCTCCTCCTCCTCTCTCATCATTCATCATCACATCATCATCATCATCATCATCATCGGCATCGTCAACATCACAAAGGTATGCATGTGCATCGTCATCCTCCTCCTCCTCTGTCTCATCCTCCTCCTCGTGACCCCAGGCTCGGAAGGTCTTCGGAGGTCTTCGCTCCGTCACGGGCGCTTTCCGGGGGGGGGGGGGCGGGGCAGCGGCGCGTGGACGGCCGGCCGCGCGAGGCCCGAGCGACACATCACCCGAGGAAGCAGGCGGTGCCGGGCGATGCGATGCGATGCGATGCGGCCCGATGGCCAGGCCCTTCATCGGCACGAACGAAATGGGTACGGAAAGGCTGGGCACAAGGCCCAACAGCAGTTCCTGTTCATTTTGAACAGGACTCGCTGTCCGCGCCGCCGCGGCCTGGTGTCCATTCGAGACAGACGGCCGCCTGCCCAACAGCGGCCGCTGTTGGTTTGGGACAACATTTGTCGTTGGGCATTGTGCCCATTCTTTCCGTACTCATTTCGGGCGGCCAAACTTCAGTGCAGACCCATGCCATGGAACACCCTGCCTGTCTCCAGTGTACCCTGGGTTCCCTAGATGTCGATGGTTCTGCGATGGAGAGCGTGACGTGCCCACGCCGGAAATCCATGGACCTCCGGGGTTCTCAGGGTCGGCTGCTTTGTGGAAGGCTTCTTGTGATCGGGCCCCTCCTGTACGGGGTGGTCCTCTAAGAGGGCAGGCGTATGGGACACGCAGTCCTGGCAACCCGGGCGCGGCGGAAGAGGCGTCGTGCAAAATGCGGTGGACAACGTACAAGCGTCGAGGGCCAGACGAGACAGCGCTTGAATCGGGTATGTCCCTCTACATGAGGAGTATCCCAAAACAGTGAGCAAATGATATGTGGACGACTGTTGGACTATAGTGACTATTTGTGGTGACATGCCCGACCCAAGACAGCGCTGGCCCCCCTGGCGTTCTTGATTATTGTTGATTTTGTGTTTGATTATGTTTTGGACTATTTTTCATTGAAGCCGCCTGTAGGAGGACATGCCCGACCTAAGACAGCGCTGGCCCCCCCCTGGCGTTTTTTTTTTTGTGGGATTACGTGTTTGACTATATTCTGATTCTGTGCCATTAAAGCCGCCTGTTTTTGAGGACCTGCCCGATCCAAGACAGCGCTGCCCCCCTGGCGTTCTTGATCATCTTTGATTGCGTGTTTGATTCTGGTTTTGATCACTTTTCATGAAAGCCGCTGGTAGGAGGACCTGCCCGACCCAAGACAGCGCTGGCCCCCCCTGGCGTTTTTTTTGTGTCCTTCCTGGGGCCTGCAACGGGAGAGGCTCCCCGTCGCCTGGCCGCCGCCTCCCTCCGCCTCGGAAGGACGGGGGTCGGGCTATAGGGACGCCCGGGGGAGAGGCCCGGGCACCGCCGCGGCGGTTCGAGGACGGGGTCCTCGGTGGAGGGGGAGGGGAAGGAGGAGGAGGAGGAGGGGAAGGAGGAGGAGGAGGAGGAGGAGGAGGAGGAGGAGGAGGAGGAGGAGGAGGAGGGATGGGGGCCTAAGGACACAAGCCCCGGACAGCCGGCTCTCTACTGACGGCCCGCGCGGCCAGGGAGGGCCCCATAAGGGGCCCGAGCGCGGCGGGCGGCCTCCGCGGCCCCCCGGTCTGTAGGACCGCTCTCCTCCGTGCTGGTCCGATCCGCGCGCGACGCTCGGGGTCTGGGGGCACTTCTGCCACGTCTGCGCGTCGTGTCACAACCGCGGCGGGCCCCAGAGCTCCACGCGTCGACGCAGTCCACGGACATGGTCCACCTGAAGACAAGACGGAGATCCCGTCGCGGTCACAGGCCGTTCGTTGTAGGCGTGCGGCGTTCGTGGACTCGCAAGATCCCAATCCATTTCAAGCGGCTTCCTGCTTCAACGATCGGAGGGGCCCGATTTGGGTCTTTTTTCTGATTTTTTTTGGGGGGGGGGGGGGCGGGCCAGAGCCCAATCTGCCTCACCCGCCTTCCTGCTGCGTGTCTCGAGCTGCTCCTGCCGAGCGGCCTGCAGCATCACGACGTGTCTTTCACAGCGTACAGCGCACACGACACGTGCAATGGCTCTAATACGTAAGCCCTCCAGGGGCACGCGTGCCGTCGACCTCTCGACGTCCCGAGGTGAACCCCGTAATTACCTCCTGTGGGTCTCCGGGGCTCCTGTGGGGATAAATGTAAGTCGGGCGCGTCCCCCTATGGGAGGAAGATCCGAAAATAGACAAAACATAATACGGGGACGATTCTTCTATGATACTCTTGGGTTTTTTTTATGAATACGTTTTGACTATTTTTGATTTTTGGTCCAACATGCGCCTGCAGGAGGACATGCCAGACCTAAGAAGACATGTGGTAACCCTGACGCCTGCTGGCGGGAGAGTGTTTCTCATCTGACGTGCCCTGTTGTAGCCCCTCGCCTTATGTTGTCCCCATCGTCCTCAAGGACCACATCCCAGAAATAATTTCGGGCACCCAGAAAGTGTCGAAACGGTGCCGAGCGAGTATCGCCCCCCAGGGCCCGACATGTGAAAACCCTCCCGTTTCATCCCTATTCTTCTTGGTGCTCGAATTTTTTTCTGGCGATCAAGGCTGAAGTAGGTTGGAACATCAAAATCCTCACCCTCTGGGCGCCCCCCCCCGCCCAGGAGCAGGCCGTGCGGCAGAGTGCCTGGCGGGCGCTCGCCGAGCTCGGCGAGCACGCCGCCCACGTCGTGCCCTCGCTGGCGGCCCTCCTGGACGGCACGCACGAGGACGAGACGACGGCGGTCGCGGTCGTCGTCGCCCAGCAGGGCGGGGAGGGCGTGGAGGCGTCCGGCAGTGAGGAAGCGGCCTGGCCCACCGATCGGAGAAGAAAACACGGCATAGGCATGCACTTTTGGCGCTCCGCGCGGGTATCTTGGATCCGCGGTGGACCCCCCCCGCCGATGGCGCGGCTGGCAGCTGGACCCAGCTCGCCACTGATCAACACGTTATGAGAACCCGTCGAGGTAGGTTTGAGTCGGGCACGTCCCTCTACACCGAGAACGCTCAGAACATAGCCTGGGGACGTTTTTTTTTGTTGTTGTTTTTTTGTTAAAAATAGTTTTGTTGATTGAATTGAACGCCCCTGAGGGGGCAGACACCGCCGCCCCACTTTTTTTGGAACGCGGAGGTTGCGTGGGGGCAAATCGGGATGTAGAGGGGGTGTTCACTCAGCTTTGGCTGGGCTTTTGTTAAGTGGGGTCTTAAAGACTTTCAGAAAGCCCCAAGAGAGCCGGAAAATTACTTAAAATAGACGCCAGACTGGACAATAAGGTCTCAGAGGGCATGAGAAATATGAAAGTGGGGTCTTAAAGGCTCTCAGAAAGCCCCTAGAGAGCCGGAAAATGATTTAAAAAGACGCCAGAAAGCCGTAAGAGAGTCTGAAACATGATTTTAAAAGGACGCCTGAGGGTGTGCAAAAGTGTGGACGAAAGGAAGAGGCATACGGAGAGGCGTACAAACGAGATCCGACTTAGTTTGGGGACCTCAAAAGGGAGTCCGGGGACCCCCTGGGCGCGCCCAGGACGGCCCAAGAAAACCCCAAAAATGCTGCCAGACGGCCCAGGCCGGGGTCGGGAGGCGTGGAGGACAGCCGCAGAGAGCGCCCGCTGATTCCAACGTGTTTCCAAGAGCCCGCGAAGACGCACGTGAGCTCGAAACGAGGCAAGAACAGAGGCTCGACAAGGCCAGAATGGACATAATCATATGTGTTATACGAGGATTTGTGCGTGTTGGTTTTTTGTAGTCGAAGTGTGCCGAGGAGAGGTGGGCGGGCTGCCAGACTGGACCAAAATGGTCTGGAGGACAGCCAAGATCGCCCCAGGAGAGCGTCTGGAGGCTTCCAAAATCGAGTCAGTGAGCTCCCGGAGAGGCCTCTGAGAGAGGCCGGCGGCGCCTTGAAGACGAACATTTCCAACGAGGTGTGTTCTGAAGCGAAAATGATGGCCAAAGAGCGCTCATTCCGCAGCTGTGGCCCCCGGGCCGGCGGAATGAGCAGGCCGCGGGGAGGACCCCAGGAGGGGTTGCAAGGGCTCTGAGGAATGGGTATTGGTACGAGGAGTTCGTGCGCGCGCAGATTGAGGGGGCTGAGTTCGTGCAGACCATGCGGCGGGGATCTCGCGCGCCGTTCCCGGTGGGGTGGCGGATCGCTTCGCTCATTCCGCTGGCCCGTATTGCCTCGCCGCTGCCGTTTGTCGGGGTGCCGTTGTCAAAGCGGTGCGAATGGGCGGTTGCCCTTTTTCGGAGGCGGTGGGTCGGTGGGTGGTGGGTCAGACGCCTCATGGATGTTGGTTGGGCTCGCGCGGTTGGCCTCTCAAGGGTTTCTGGGAGGCGGTTTTTAGGCCTCTTGGGGGCCGTGGTTGGCCCCTTGGGGCTTCTTGGGTGCCTTTGGGGGTTTCTTGGGGTGCCTCTTAGGGCCCTTGGGGCCTCTTGGGGTCTTCAGGGGGCCTCCTCGGGGCTTTCTGGGGCTGTTGGCTGGACTTTTTGGTTCCTGGTCCCCTACTTGGCCCCCTCTTGGGGCCGCTTTGGAGCCCTATTGGAGCGCTCTTGGGCGTCTTGGGGCCGTCTCGGGCGCCTCTTGGGCTGTCGTGGAGCCATATTGGGCCGTCTTGGGGCCCTCTTGGAGGCTCCGTGGGTCGTCTTGGGGCGGTCTTGGAAGACTTTTGGGCCGTCTTGGAGCGCCAGTGAGCCGAAAAGGCAAAAACGCCACAAACTTTCAAAAACTGGAGGATATCACTAATTTCTGCCTCTGCTGGCCCTCTTGGGAGGTCTCTTGGAGGCCTCTGGGGGCGGAAGCGTTCCTGGGACGCTCTTGGGAGCTTGCTGGGACCTGGCCGGGACCTGCCCGGGACCTGCCTGGGACTTACCAGGGACCTTGCCAGGACTTGTTGGGGTACTTTTCGTCTGGGGCCCCCAGTGGCAGCCCCGCGCGCGCGAACTGGAATATGAGTAACCAGTCGCCGAAGATCTTAGCACGCCCTTGTCCCGTTGGGCTGGCGAAATTTGTCGAGCGCTCTGGGGCATGATTGTTTCTCGTGTTTCTTCCTGCATCCTACTGTAGGAGGACATGCCCGATCCAACGTTATGCGACCCTGTCGAGGTAGGGTCCACACGGGGGTGCCTTGGACGGTCGGACCCTGCCCAGAGGCGGTCTGCCGCTACCTCGAGGACGCGCGGCCGGCGATGCGGGCGGCGTGCTGCGCGGCCCTCGGCGCCGTGGGCGGCGCCGGGGCCCCCGCGGCCGTGCGGGTGGCGCAGCTGCTGGAGGACATCGACCCCGGAGTCCGCGCCACCGCGCGTGAGGCTCATCGTGGGGGAGGAGTGATGGGTCCATTTTCCACCACCTCTGCCAGATGTAGGAGAGGGAGGAGGAGGAGGAGGAGGAGGAGGAGGAGGAGGAGGAGGAGGAGGAGGAGGAGGAAGAGGAGGAGGAGGAGGAGGAACCCGAGGAGGAGGAGGAGGAGGAGGAGGAGGAGGAGGAGGAGGAGGAGGACGAGGCGGAGGAGGAGGAGGAGAGGAGGAGGAGGAGGAGGAGGAGGAGGAGGAGGAGGAGGAGGAGGAGAGGATAAGGAGGAGGAGAGGAGAGGAGGAGGAGGAGGAGGAGAGGAGGGAGGAGGAGGAGGGGAGGATAAGGAGGAGGAGGAGGAGGAGGAGGAGAGGGAGGAGGAGCAGGAGGAGGAGGAGGCGGAGGAGGAGGAGGAGGAGGAGGAGGAGGAGGAGGAGGAGGGGAGGAGGAGGAGGAGCAGGAGGAGGAGGAGGAGGCGGAGGGGGACCTCCTCATCCTCCCTTCTCCCCCGTCCTGCATACGGTAGTGGTGGTGGAAAGGTTGCCCATCAAAATTTGGATCCGTATCCGCGGCCTCGCGGGCCTGGCCCCTGGGCCGCGACCCCGCGGGTAGGTGGCGTTCTTGTCCGCACATGCCCCGCGCGGAGCGTCCCCGCGCGACCGCGCATCCGCGGGATCGCGCCCCGAAGTCCACACTGCGAGGGCGTGGATATGGATGCGTTCGCCACTGCTCGTGAGCTCAGGCTCGGGGGCGCGGACAGTCGAAGAAGGACAAACGGCATAAACATGCAACTTTCGGAGCTCCGCGTGGGATCGCCGCCTAGGCCCCCCTGGCCTCGCCTCAGGCGCCGCCCTTGGCGCGCTCCGCGCGCCAGGGAGGGGGATGCAGCGCATCCGCGCGGACCTCCAGGACCGCTTTATTCTAGGCCTCCTAGATGGGGTCGGAGTAGATGGCGAAGGAACGCGCCACATCGCTGATGCATCGGCGATGCGGCTCGATGCGGAGCCCGATTTTCTCCACGCCGACGCCGCCGATGCGTCGCCGACGTCGGCGACGCATCGCCGATGCGTCGGCGTCGCATTGGCGATGCGGCGCGATCCTCCGACCCCTTCTACGCAGACCCCACCTAGGAGGCCTCTATGTATGTGCCTGTAGGCAGGGGTGCACTGGCTCAGTGTGTGGGGAGGTATCGGCTTCCGATGGTCACTAATCGCCAAGCGCGGCCTAGGTGCCCCCCCCCCCGCCCGGGAGCATGCTTCTTGGCCATCGGGGGCCTGTCTCCGATTTATCGGCGATTCGTCGCCTGACTCGAAAGTGCATGTTCCGCATCCCCCGAGCCTCCCTAGCCAGCCGCTGAGTTACATGATGTGCCAACCTACTTAAGCCTGGATCACCAGAAAGAGTTTCAAGCACCAAGGAGGTACCGAAACTGGAGGGTTTTCACGTGTCGGGCCCTGGGAGGCGATATTCGTTCGACATTGTTTCGAGACTTTTCTGGGTGCTCGAAATGATTTCTGGAATGTGGTTCTCAAGTGCGGTGGGAGCATCACCGTAGCTATCGTTCCACTCTGTGCTGTAGTTTCACAGTCACTTGCACTTGATGGGCGCTTCGGCCCCACCCTGCGGCACCCACGCGGTTCACGAAGCGGGCCGGTGTCCAATGCCCGATGTCCTAGCCAGTCCCCCTTTGGTCTCTACCCCGTGCAGGCGTTGCTGCGGATGGGCGCCGAGGCGGACCGGCCGCGACTGGGGGAGCTGTGGTCGACAGTTGCCACCCCCACGGGTGGCCTCGGCACCTCTCTCGAGAGGGCCGTCGATACGACACAGGGGCCCCCCAGGGGGGGGTGAGGGAACCCCGCATCCGACGTCGTGATTTGTTCACAGCGCGGCCCCCCAGAGGTTTGGTCTTTCCCAGGGACCGATTCTTACTCCTGAGCTGCTTTCTGGCTGCCTATTGGGGGCCCACTGCGGGCACCCGAAGGCAGAAAACTTGCAAAACTTGCCGGTCGTGGTTTTTGCGCAAGGCTCCAGCTGCCTGGCCGCGGTCCTCGGGCCCGACGAGGGCCCCTTACTCATGCCGCTCGGGATGCTTCGGGCACCACTTCGGTACGCACTTCTCGGCGGGGAGAAGCTGTTGGGAAGCATCCCGTGCTACGTGCAAAAACTCCAAAGAAAAACTCCCGAAACGAGGGCCGATGGGGTCCCACCTAGTCGTTTTGAAGAGACAGCGCCCCGCGTCACTTCTTCCTTCTCCTCACCCTCCTCCCTCCTCCCATCCGTGCGTCTGCCCTCCGTATGTGAACCACTTTTGTACACCCTCAAACGTTTTGTGGCTCCACAGGGAACTCCACCGGAAGCCCCAGTGGCGCCGTTCCCATGCGTCCGGGCCGCACATCTCGGCACATCCGTCGCACGGTTCGTGGCCCCAAGGGGAGCTCCACTTACGGCCCCAGTGGCGACGTTCCCATGCGTCTGCGCCGCACATGTCGGCACACCCCTCACACGTTTCATGGCCCCATGGGGAGCTCCCTCTGAGGCCCCACTGGCGAAGTTCGCATGCCTCCCCCCCGCCCATTACGGCACATCCCTCGCATGGTTCGCGGCTCCATACGGAGCTCCACTTTCGGCCCCAGTGGCGACGCTCGCGTGCGCCCACATGGAGCTCCACCCAAGGTCCCAGTGGCAACGTTCCTATGCGCCCGGGCCGCACATCTCGGCACGCCCGTCACACGGTTCGGGGCCCTATGGGGAGCGCCACCCAAGGCCCCAGTGGCGTCCCATGCCTCCGCCCCGTCCAGTACTGCACATCCCATCACACACATCGTGGTTCCATAGGGAGCTTCACTTAAGGCTCCAGCGGCGACGTTCCCCTGCCTCCTCCCCATCTACTACGGCATACCCCATCACACGCTTCGTTGCTCCATAGGGAGCTCCACCTAAGGCCCCAGTAGCAACGTTCCCATGTGCCCGCGCCGCACATTTCGGCACGCCCATCAGACGGTTCTTGGCCCCACAAGGAGCTCCACTTGAGGCCTCAACGGCGACGTTCGCTTGCGTCCGCGCCGCGCATTCTGGCACTCCCATCACACGCTTCGTTGCCACATAAGGAGCTCCACCGAAGGTGACAGTGGCGCAGCTCGCATGCGTCTCCCCTGCCCACTTCGGCGCACCACTCGCACGTTTCGTGTCCCGCTAGAGGCTCCACCGAATGGTCCAGTGGCGGCGCAGTTCGCATGCGTCTCCCCCACCCTTTCCGGCACCCCCCTCACACGGTCCGTGGCCCCAAAGGGAGGTCCATCGAAGGTCCCAGTGGCGCAGCTCGCCTGCGTCTCCCCCGCAAATTTAGGCATACTCCTCGCACGTTTCGTGGCCCCATATGGAGCTCCACTAAAGGTCCCAATGGTGCAGTTACGTAGCATGCCTCACCCCCACCCTTCTCGGCACACTCCTCACATGGCTCGTGGTCTCATAGCGAGCTCCACCGAAGGTCCCAGTTGCGCAGTTTGCATGCGCCTTCCCCGCCGATTTCGGCACACCCCTATCACACGTTTCGTGGTCCCATAAGGAGCTCAACCGAAGATCACTGCATCCGTCCTCGCGTACGCCTCCCCCGCCTGTTTCGGTACGCCCCTCGCACGCTTCGTGGCCCAACAGGGAGCTCCACTGAAGGCCCCGGCGGCCGTGATCGCATGCGTCTTCCCCAGCAGTCCGCATGAGGTACCCGCCCCACCCCTCAGGCGGTTCGCACCTCTCACCTGGTTCGGGGCCCCATTGGGAGTTTCCCCTCGCTCGTCCCGCCTGCCCTGCGGGTACTAACAGCCTGACATGGCTGGGCCCTTCGCCAGGATCGGTCAGCACGGGGTCTCTGGAAGCCCCGACCCCCTCCCCAGGCCCTGCTCTTGTCCGAAGTCGTTTTTGGACGGGCCCCGGGGCCCGGCGAGGGCACCCAGGGGAGCGGAAGCGGCCCACGAGCTTCCCATCTTGCTTCCTTCCAGGACTCGACCTGCACGTGAAAGGGTGGCCATTCGCCAGAATGACCTTTCGTGCGGGCTCCTCCTCCTCCTCCTCCTCCTCCTCTTCCTCCCCCTCCTCCTCTCCGTAGCCATTTTGGCTCAAGATGTTTGCGCGAGAGGGCTTCCGCGCCCTCGTGCCTGAGCGGGATAGCTCTGTTTCCCGAGCTCGCTTTCAATCATCTTTCGAGCCCTGGTCCGCCCCAGGCGCTCACGTGTGGACCTGCAGTAGGTCTGCACCTCGCCCCACAACGGCCCTGGTAAGGGCATTCCTCTTTGCACTCTGTGTTGCACTGCAGCCATGGGGATATTTCGCGGACAGCAAGAACGTATGGCATGGGCGAAGCCTTGGCTTTGCCGATGGTGCGTCGACAGCAAAGGTGAGCGCTGGTGGAACGACGCATCTGCCAAGTTCTGACGCGACGAATGTGGTTGCAGTAAGGACATCGCTTTCTATGGCCTCAAGCCCCAGCTTTTTCCCTCCTCAGGATCGGCGAAGGCTAAGGCAGCCAAAGGCAATGCAAAGGAAGCGATCGTGACCAGGATGCATCTATCAAGTCCAAGCGTGAGAAGGCTCTTGAGAAGCAGATTTCTGAACTTCGAGATCAGCTCACGACAGAGAAGGACGGGTCCATGGACGTGGACACCCCACCCACCAATGACAAGGAGAAGAATCGCTACAAGAGCGAGCTGGCCGTTGCCGAGTCCATGCTCAAGGCGTTGCCGGAGGATGCCGACACGGAGTTTGCACAGCAGCAGCGCCTGCACCTGGAGAGGCATCGGGATGCGTGCAAGGTGAAGCTGCGGGAGGCGCAGCCATTCGAGTGGAGGGCTCACGATGCGGTCAACCAGAAGAAGCAGCTGCTTGAGAAGAAGCAGCGGATGGAGAAGGCAGTCGAGCAGGCAAAGGCGGCTGTGGTCAAGGCGCAGGCAGCCGTCGACCACGCGGAGGAGGAGCTGCAGGATGTGCTGGAGCAGCCCGTGGCCAAGGAGGCCGAGGTGCAACGTTTCCTGGGCTCGTTGCCGACAGCGCCAGCTGAGCGCAAGCTCGAATCGCATATCGAGAGTGTCGGCATTTCCGTTCAGGGCCTGGGCGACTTGATCAAGGCCCGCGGCCTCGATGCAGGGGCAGCTGACAACCTCGCGGTCTCGCTCAAGCTCGTGATGGACCAGCTGCGTGCGGCGGAGGCGGCGTGCAGGCCATCTCCCGCCACTCCCGCTCAGGAGCCCGCTCAGCCTGATCAACCAGAGGAAGCTCAAGACGATGTACAGTAGGGCCATCAGGCTCATCCTCAGTACGTACCTCCTACCGGCGATGAGGAACCTGCCACGCTTCGTGAGTTCCTCCAGGCCTTGGGGTTGGAAGTCCCCGAGAGCGAGGACCAATTGCGGGCAGCGGTTAAACAGACTTCAGCAGGTTTCCAGAGTCTTGCGAAGAAGGCCCGCACCGAGGCGTAGATGGCATTTGCAGTGTATGTGCGCAGTTGCCCACATGACCATGGCGACTGCAACGTCTATCGAGACATTGAATTGCACTTCATTTGGGCAGTTGGTTAGCCATCTTCCACGCTGTCTAGCTCAAGTGATCTGCGTGCAGGAACATCATATCGCGAAGGAGAAGCTAGCGAACAGTCATCATAAGTTAGCCATGTTGGGATGGCAGGGGGTATGGGCCCCTGCGCAGTCTACTCCCGCCTTGGGAACATCGGGGGGAGTCGCGGTGTTTACGAGAAAGATGATCACGATCACTGCGGCTACAGGAACCGATGGCGGGGTGCTTGTACCTCGTCGGTTGCTGGCTACCAGAGTTCATTGGGGCGTCTGCAAAGGTATTATCATTTACTCTATGTACTTGTATGTTGGCGATAAGATGCCTGCCCGCAACGTTGAGATACTGCGCAAATTTGCAGAGCATGCGAACGGGATGCGAGGGTCAGGACTCATGTGGGTCTTGGGAGCCGGCTGCAATATGAGTACGGGTGAAATGGGCTATTTGGATTGGCTTTACTCTATTGGTGGGATTGCTGCAGCTCCTCGTGCCACCACTTGCCGACAGAGCTTGCCAGGCACTACGATCGATTGGTTCATGCTCGCAGCGAAGCTGGCCCCGAGAGCCTCTCGACCACATGTCAATGAGGAGGCTGAAACTCGATTTCATTTGCCAGTGATTTTACTTATCAATGCAAAAGGTGCGTCACTTCTGCTCGGGCGGATGGTCGAAGCAAAGGTGTTTCCGACCAAGGTCAAGGCTTGATGTTCAAGATTTCCATGCAGCTGGGGGCCCGTGATGAAGCAAGTGCAGCAGGTATCTAGTCACGAGCAGCTCTCGTGTGCATGGTTGGCAGTTCTCAACGCTCTTGAGGTGGATCTGGCTGGTCGCCATGACATTGTAGACGACAAGTGGATGCCGTACCTTTCGCAGGGGGGTCGAGGCCAGCGCATTGTCACGCAGGAGGTGAAACCTGAGCCTGAAGTACCGCGGGACGAGGTTAGTTATTCATGGAGGATTGCAGGGCGACGGGCTCGGCATATCAGACGCACCAGTACGCTGTTCAATACATTGGTTGATAAGGTGAAGCTCGAACTGTCTAACAAGCTTGGTGAAGACGTGGGCTTTGGAGCTGGATTGGACGTGGCTAGCAGAAGTGTTTTGCGAGTGGAGCAAGCACGTCGCCTTTTCTCTGTATTTCAGCTGCTGTGGAGCCCACAGTTGACGGGGTTGGGGGCCATCCCCGCGAACCCGCAAGGACGTCGAGGGCCACGTGTGGATCAGGCTCGGCGACTACAGTCTTTATGTCCACCAGCGCGGGGCCCACGGTGGACGGGGCTGGGGGCCTCCCCTGCGAACCCACATCGGCATCCACGGCTGCCAGTGGACCGGTAGCGCATGGCATTGTGCCCGCTGACACGCACTGCTCACCGACCCGTGCCCCTCGGCAGCCTCGGAAGGGGCCAGCCTTCCCCGTCGCGGTCAATAGGGAATAGGGGAGGCAGAGAGTACCGACCAGCGGGCACGGAAGTGTTGGATATGGTGCGTGGTATTGTGCCCGCTGACAGCATCTGCTCACCGACCCGTGCCCCATCGGCAGCCCGTGGGGGAGTTTCTTCCCATGGAGCGGCCCATAGGGAATAAGGAAGGCAGAGAGTACCGATCAGCGGGCACGGCGGCTGATATAGACAGGACTTGGCTGCCAGACTACACTTCACCATGGACAGCTGGGCAGGCTCCTGACAGATCGCGTTGCAGACAGCAGTCTAAGCCCATGCGCCAATTATTGTCGTCACCATTTTCTGGCTTCTCGCCTGGGTACTCGCCGAAAGAACGTGCACCAACGCAGAGGCAGAGGCTGCCCACGATCGAGAAGTTGGGCGAGCTGTTGCTACATGCGGGATGTTTTGCGCAAAAGATGGCAAGAGCCATCAGTGTCCATGCTGAATTAGACAATGATGCAGTTGAATTCTTTTGTGGGGGACTCCTATCGTGGCTCGGCGATAACAAGCTCGAGGCCAAGCTGGAGGCTACGATCGCCGAAGCGCAGCTGGTCCAAGTCGCATATGCATGTCAGCGCAAGCGGGCATGGAAGGAGTGGACCGAGTTGGCATTCAAGAGTGGAACTCAGGCGGCACATGGGTTCACTCGAGTGAGAAGCTTACAAATGGCACGGGAGTCTTCTGACTCTGCAGCCCCGCCGCAGCTTGCCGACGGTGAGCTCGCCAAGTGGAAGAAGATATGGCGCGCGCATGGGGCGGATCGGCTTCCTTTGCCTGGCGACGCCGAGCCATGGGAGCAACTGCCGCCCCTATATGGTGTTGATCTTCGACGCGTCATTGGGGCCTTTGCCCGTCTTACAGGAGGTTCGAGTTCTTCCGCGGCATTGTTGGTTTGTGTCGGACGCTGGCCTGGAAACCATGGCGGTGCTGTTTAATACTTTCGATCGGATGTGTCACTGGCCGCAGGATCAGCTTTTCACAGAGCTCGCTGTGCACGCTGCCCAAGCCAGGCGGTGGCACTCGCTTGATTGCATTGTTGAATACTCTGCTGAGGATATGGGGCCGCTCAAGACGGCCTGTCAGAGTGCAGTGGGAGTTAAACCATCGGCATCCGTCCTTTTGGGGAGGGGGCGCAGGCAGGACTTCCAGCGATTGTGCGTTTCAGCTTAACCTCACGGCCGAAGCAGCACATGCGCGCGAGCAGCACGTCATTACATTACAGTATGTCTCGACATGTTCAAATGCTATGAGACGATATTACGGGGCATTCTCGTGACAGAGGCGCGCGAGTTTGGATTCCCTCTACGGTTGATGTGGATGTTCTTGCAGACATACTTGGTACCACGCACCATACGGGCATATTCCCATGCAAGCACCCTTTTCGAGTCGCTCCAGGGGGTCCTTGCTGGCTGCACACACGTTGCTACGGTTCTCATGATTGTGTTATATCGGGTCGTCGATCGGCAGCATAAGTTATATCCTCATGTATGTGCACGTGTGCTCATGGGCGATATCACGATGTAGTGGCACGGTCCAGATCCGCGCGGGGCGTCGGTGCTCAACACATGCGTGCGCAATTTCGCTTCGGATGTGTATCCGCTCGGCCCTATTCTGCAGCAAAGTAAATCTGGATTCGTGGCTACTATTACTAGGGCGGTTCAATGTTTCCACAGTGGCATCCAAAGCATGAGGCTCAAGGACAAAAAGCATCTTCGGAACCTCGGACACGAGCTCCATGGGTCCAGGGTCTCCAGGGTCCAGGAGAGAGCGCGGATGAAAAGCCTGGCGGACAGAAAGGGCCAGGTCTTCGCGCGTGGAGATTCTGTGCATGAGAAGGTCGGAGTTCTGTGGAGAACGGGAATTCTGCCCTCAGTGGGGCACGGCACGGGAGTGAGCCTCACGTCGGACACTATTCTCAAGCAGTTGCGTACATTCGCGGGCTGCATGGTTGGTGCGGCCCAGCATGTTTCTTTCACGCTCTACCTTATGACTCAATATGATGACAAGTTTGATCCGGTATTCGATTGCACTATACTACTTGTCAAACGTTATGCCAGTATGCTATGGGATGGTGAGGTCTCCCTGGCAGATGTTTATCATGCGTGGCGATGTGCAGCGGATCGCTATGCTCAGTCTAAGCCCAACTGGCAATTGGCCAGAGGGCCTGTGGCGGCGGCATGATTGACTCTTCACCGCATCAACTGGCAGATGATGAGCCCAGCGGGCTTGACTGACGACCTGGGGATTCAATACTCTCTTTATAGAGTTGCGCCCCGTGACTGGCAGCGCAGGCTGGAGGAGTCCATCGAGCGGTGGCAGACATCACGGCTGCTGCTACACCTGCCCGAGAGGATGGGTGACGAAACGGCATGGCGCAGGGCATTGCGTCAGGCGGCGCTTCGAGTTCCAGCAGGGGCGCAGAGAAGAGCGCTCCGAGCTTTATGGTCAGGCGGTCTCCTGTGCCCAGACAGAGCTGTGGAGCTAGGTCTGATGACTTCGCGTGAATGCCACTACTGCTGGCACGGCGTAGGGATGTTGTCGCACCAATGGAATTGTTGTGAAGTGTTGCTGCAGAGTTCCGAAGTATGTCCTGAAGCTGTCCCAGACGACGTTATTGAGTTTCGTGCAGATCGTCGAAAGATAATTGTGATAATTTGGGCAACCCAGAGACCTTCGAGCTGACGCGCGGCATCCATCTTGAGCCGCTTCAGCCCAGAAGGCCAGAAGATAATCCCAAGGCTTTTTTCTTGGGGCGACGGCGGTGGCGATCGGGGGCCAGTCAGCTACACAGACGCTTCAGGACTACACAACTCACATCCTAGTTTATACCGCGTGGGTTGGTCAGTGGTCCAGCTTTGCCCCGCGACGGGCTGGCCCATCAGAGCCCGGCACGGAGGATTACCTGGAGTCGACCAGAGCGCGCCACGAGGTGAGAGATATGCTGGCTCGAAAGCCCCGGAGTATATGCAACGCCCAGGGCTTGTTGTTTCTGATCACAGGAGTTTTGTGGACGAGGCCATGAGATGGGATCTGTCCTTGTCGAGTTCTGCAGGCAAGCATGCGGCGATTTGGAGAAATATATTTGCAGTATGTCAAGATGATAAGGAACCAGCGCGTTTCATATGGGTTCCTGCTCATGCGAGTGCTGTCGAGGCAGTGGAAAGTGGTGTACCGGCTGCCCACGTGATGGGCAATGCGTGGGCGGACTTTTTCGCATATTGTGGTGCCAGTGAGATCCAGGTTGCTGACACGCTGGCGGAGAATCACAAGGGCCTGCTCAAGTATGCGACGACGACGGGGCGCTTCCCCGGCTTCATGCCCCCCCGTGCTGTCCGCCTGCGCACGCAGGTGGGTGAGGCGGCGCAGGCACCGACGAAGCAATCTGGCCCAGTGATCGCACCTGTTTTAGTGACGCAGCATGAGTTTTATGAGTTTGGACCTGGGGCCGTGCGCTGCAGGAGCTGCAGCAAGGAATCTCGGACCCGCGTGTCGTATTTGAAATTTGTTGCTGCCCCGTGTACGGGCCCGCCTGTTTTGGGCCCTGGCCATCGGTTGGCCCGCTGGGGGAATGTTGCTGTCTGTGAGATTTGCGGTCACTTCAGTGTGCAGGTTTATAAGACGGCGAGGTTGCTCAAGGCAGACTGCCCTGGGCCCCCGACAAGTCGGCCGACGCTCGCAAACACCCGGCAGCACGTGCGCAGAGCGAATGTGGGCAAGGACCCCAGAAGTGGGAAACCCCTTCCACCCGAGGCTCCTGTCAGCGCTGCAGGCGCGGCTGACAGTGCGGCCCAGTCCAATTGCCAGGAGGATTTGCCCCGTGGGGGTGGTGGGACTGGGTCGGACGGGGGTGGCGGGGGAGACGAATCTAGCTCGGACTAATCTTTGCAGCTGCGGGCTGTGCAGTTGCTCTTCTCGTTCCCTGGGGCCCCCCACCCGCGGGTTATGGTCCCGTGCTGACGCCGACCGCCCCCCGTCGTTGGATGGGCTTTGGTGCGGTCTTGGCGGCACCGTGTGTGCTTCGGTTGGCCAGCTGGCTGACCCCCTTGATCGACCTATGGGTTGATCTCTCTGTGGGGCCTCGGGGTACCCTGAGGCCTCTCCAATTCGGCCCTCTTCCGTTCCTATGGGTTCGGTCGGGGCAACCGTTCCTGGACCTCCTCCTCCTCCTCCTCCTCCTCCTCCTCCTCCTCCTCCTCCTCCTCCTCCTCCTCCTCCTCCCCTCCTCCTCCCTCCTCCCTCCCCTCCCTCCCTCCCTCCTCCCTCCTCCTCCTCCTCCTCCTCCCTCCCTCCCTCCTCCTCCGTCCCTCCTCCCTCCCTCCCTCCTCCTCCTCCTCTCCTCTCCTCTCCCTCTACTCTCCTCCCTCCTCCTCCTCTCCTCCCCTCCTCCTCCTCTCTCCTCCTCCTCCTCCTCCTCCTCCTCCTCCTCCTCCTCCTGCTCCTGCTCCTGCTCCTGCTCCTCCTGCTCCTCCTCCTCCTCCTCCTCCTCCTCCTCCTCCTCCGATCGCCGCATGCGGTGCGATGGCAGCGGCCCGCTCGCCTGCCTGCCGCCCCCATCGCGCCCCCGAGAGGCCGCGCCAGAGGTCACCCTTGCCCAGAGGTCGCTATTGCGTGTGCAGCGTCACTCCCTCTCTCTCTCTCGTGCTCGCTCCCTCCTCCCTCTCCTCCCACTCTCTCTCCTCCTCCTCCTCCTCCTTCTCCTCCTCCTTCTCCTCCTTCTCCTCCTCCTGCTGCCAAGAAGCACCCTGCTTGCCTCCAGGGTTCCCTTGGTTTCCTGGGTTTCGATGGTGCTGCGATCTTGCGATGGGAAACGTGCGGAGTCCGCACGCCAACAAAAAGCAAGAGATGCCTTGGGGTCTCAGGGTTGGGTTTCTCGCGGAAGGTTTCTTCACAGACATGCGGCGTCTGGATTTTTGTCAGTAATTGCGGCGTCCCCGGAAGGCCCGACCCTTTTCCCGGGGCTGGCTTTTCATCCCTTGTCGAAAAAACAAATAATCGTTGACGCTCCCGGTGACCGGCTAGGGCCTCCAGGGGCCGAAAATCGTGAAACCTTTGCCGGCCTGATTTCTGTTTGCGACGCGATCTTAGCTCGGTTGTGGACTGGCCTCCACTTGTACGGGGCATTTTCTTCGGGTGGAGGGCAAAGGGTGACATCTGACATGCCGTCTCGATTGAGCCTCGAGGCCTGACTCTGCAAAGGGGGAGTCCCAAGTCGGGACCGCTCTGCGGGGTGCGAGAGCCCATTTGCACTCCACCCGGAGCCCTCCGCCCTCGGCGAGTGCTCCGTTGTAGTCGACGGGCGCGAGCCGAGCGACGCCTGGGGGCGCAGCCCCCTCCCAGCCGCGGCCGGGCGCCCCCCAAAACAGGGCGCCGCGGCCCTCGCCGGGGCCCTGCCGCGCGCGGGCGCGGGCCTGCGGCAGGGCGCGGTGGCGGCCGTGGGCCGCCTGGGGGCGGCCGGGGCGGCCGAGGCGCGGGTCGGACGAGACGTATGGTGTTCCAACCTGCTTCAAGCAGTGGCGAAGCGTCCCGGCGTGCCTATAGCCCTACCAAGCAATGTTCTAAGAACCTTTTTTGTGGTTTCCACGACATGTTCTCAGAACATTTCTGGCTGGGACCGTCTTGTTTGAACACATTGGGCTTATGTTCTAAGAACATTGTCTTTGTTCTTAGAACATCTTGGGGTTCTAAGAACATTACTATAGGAATGCTGGGACGGTCGGTCCCTGCTCAACTACTTTAGCATTGATCGCCAGAAAGAACTTCGAGCACAAAGAAAGTGCCGAAGCTGGAGGGTTTTCACATGTCGGGCCCTGGGAGGCGATGCTCGCTCGGCACCGTTTCGACGCTTTTCTGGGTGCCCGGAATGATTTCTGGGATGTGTTCCTTGAGTGCGACGGTAAGACGAGACCTTCGGGGGCGGGGCCTGCCAAGAGATCCCCAGACTCCCTCGAGTCATGAAGAAATCGCAGCGGAGTGTGTTTCGCTATGTGTTCGTCCTCTGGGGGCCCTGGCCGGGCCTCGGGGCCGTCGAGAAGCGATTCCGGGTGGGAAACGGGTCCCGGGGCAGGGGGTCGAGATTTCGGGGGGGCGACGTCATGAAGAAACACGGCGTCGGGGGTCTGGATCTTGGGGGGGGGGCGGCCAAGATATCCTCAGGCGGTCGCACAGGTGGATGAAAGGGGGCGTGGATTAGCGGCGGGTCCCGCGGAGCGCGATGCGCGAAGTTCGCTGACCTGGGGCTGATTCAGTGGAGATCCGTGCCAAGAAGCACCCTGCTTGCCTCCAGGGTCCACTGTGTTTTTTGCGTTTCGATGGTTATCTTGCTGCGGAGATCGCGACTTTCCCACACCAAAAATCAATGGACGTCCTGGGGTCTCAGGGTTGGTCAGGCGATCGCAAACATGGATCAAGGGGGCGTGGATTAGCGACGGGTCCAGTTTCCATTGAAAAATCACGGATTTCCGCCGCCGAGCGAGGCGGCACGGGCCGCATTTTGGGGAGGGCACCTCCCCCAATCCATCGATTTGGCGACCGCGCGACAGATCCATGGATCGCTAATCCATGTTTGCGCGCCCAGACAGATGGGGTCGTAGTAGATTGGGTCGGAGGATCGCGCCACATCGCCGATGCATCGCCGATGCGCCTCGATGTGGGGCCCGATTTGCTTCACGTCGACGTCGCCGATACATTGCCGACGTCGACGACTCATCGCCAGTGCATTGCTGATGCATCGCCGATGTATCGGCGATGCGGCGCGATCCTCCGACCCTATCTACTCGGACCCCACCTAGGAGGCCTCCAGATTTCCGAGGTTCGAGGCTCAAGGTTTTCGGGTGTGAGGCTCCGAAGTTTTTTGTGACATTCTCATGGCTTCTCTGGCGGTCTTGAAGCACAGGGATGCCAGCCAGCAGCTGCGCCTCATCGAGGGCATCCCAGGGGATATGGCCCAGAAACCAGCAGGCGTCGAAGACGGGGGGTGCTGAGCAGGGGGAACGGATGTCATGGCGGCGGCCATGGTGTCTCCCTGGATGTCATGACCCCCTCTTCTTCTTCTTCTTTTAATGCGTCCCACGGTTCCCCCTCGTCCACACATGTCTCTGGCCATGATTTGCGAGCCCCCTTCGACAGATTCGCGTCGTGTCGACGCGGCGGCAACCCCAGCGCGGGCAAGATTGAACGCCGCTGGTGGCCCAGAATCGGCCAATATGGAACGATCTGGCGATCGAAAAGCTCCCCATCGAACGATCCACGCGGTGTCAGAGACCAATGCCGGTGTCGTCACGACCCATGAGATCCGACGTTGCGAACAGATTGCGCCATCGCGAGACATCTCGACCAGAGCCCCAGACCCATCGTCCCGCTGCATTTTTGTTCGAGCCGGATCGTTCTGTCATGGGCCTCTGGCCCGACACTGGCTGAGAACGCCCGCGGTGCGAGTGCATTGCAACGCCCGGATTGGAGGGATCAGCTACAGTGAAGACCGACGCCAAGAAGCATCCTGCTTGCCTCCAGGTGCCCTGGGTTTCTATTGAAAGCGTGACGTTCCCGCACCTAAAATCAATGGACGTCCTGGGGTCTCAGGGTTGAGCTTCTTGTGGAAGGTTTCTTGTGGGCTGGCCTCCAAAGGATGATCGTTTTTTATTCATTGTTTTGCCGATCGGCGCGGGCCTCGCCTCCCCCCCTCCCCCCCCCCCATGAAGAGGACCTTGGCTGTTTTTTGGCGCCTGTTTCAGGCAGGCGGAGTCCCTCTCCCACTGGACGCGCGCTGCTGCGAACAGTCGCACTAAGCAGAGGTCCCGAGCCAGACGCCCCCCCTCCCCCCCCCCCTTCGCTCAGTGCCAGAACGCCGACGAAGAAAGCGCTCACTCGTGGAAGGTTTCTTGTGGACGGGCCTCCACTGTAGGCGTGAGCTGCTCCGCTGACCTCCCCGCCTTGGCCACAGGCCCTCCTGCTTAGGCGCCCCCCCAACGTACTAATGCTATGTGTTCGTCGCCCCCCCCAGGGGCGAACCGAGAAATCTTATAGTATATGCGTCGTGGCGGGCGCTTTCTGGCCACGCCGCTCGAGAAACGATATACCACAAGATGGGTATACTGTATGTTCGGGTCGGACGCGCGCCTCCAAGGCGGACATATAGTATAGTATTAGTATGTCTCTGTGCGTCCCACTGCTCGCCTGTGGCCCCATGCAGGCGCCGGCCGTGGCCGCGCGGCTGGTGGACCCGCTGCGGTCGGTGCGCGCCGCGGCGGCCAGGCAGCTCCCGTAGACGCGCTAAGGGGGTTACAAGTGGATGCCAAGGTGGGTTATATCTGGCCCACCCTGGCTTATAAGTGGGCTACTGATGCCCCGAGTAGCTTAGGGGGGTTAACGTTCCGGGCTAAGTATAGGCTCCGCCCACTTGGCGGAGTGATCTAACCCCGTAAGCCACTTTGGGCATCTGTAGCCCACCTTAGCATCCACTTGTAATCCCCCTATCTACTTAGAAACCACCACGGCCATCCCAGTAGGACATCGTGGTGGGTGTGGTTCGTGATTTCCTACCATTTGTTCTGCGCGAGCTCGGCGTCACAAAAGTCGGATTCCCAACATAACATCGCCGTTAACCAACATCGCCGTTAGCGCGGCCTTGGAGTTTCAGGAGGGGGAAAAACACAGACACAGTAAGCGTCGATCCCCCAGAGAGTGTGGGAAACTATGGGAAGTGGGCGGGGAAGACGAAAACACATAACATCATGTTGGAAATATTGGGGATCCTGTGATCTGTGTCTGTCTCGTTGTGTGTCCCTGGGCCCCTTCGCGATTTTGGAACCCTCTGGCGGAAATCACAGCGGCAGGTTCTTGGCCATTCCCGGTAGGTTTGCGGGAGCATTCGTGGGCGTTTCGGAGGTCTTCTCGCTTCGCGATGCTGTCCGACAGCCGCGCCACGTCGAGAGCGTGCTGGGGGTGCCCGGATCGTCCCGAACGGCCGCCAGAGGTCAGAGCCGTGCTCGAACATTGGCGAGACAAAATCACGACGGAAAGGGTTGGGTGATTTTCGGGCTCCCAGGCCCTCACGGGGCTCCAGGGTTGTCAACAAGCGACTGACGATGAAGAGCCAGCCCCTGGGAAGAGGCCCAGACCTCTGGGAAGCCACGCGGTGAAGAGCTTCACGGCGTCGGAGGTCTGGGGCCACGTGTCTCTTTCGATCCGACCGCTCCGCCTCGCGATCGAGGGAGGCCGGGCCGATCGGGCTCGCTGCCTCGGTTGCGATGCCCTGGCGCGGCCCGGCGCACGCGTGGACGCTGCTTTGCTCTGCGTCCCGGCGCAGCCCCTCCGGTCTTACCAGCCTCGAACGTATCCCTATCCCTAAGATTGACACGCCAAAAGGCGATGACAATCTTAGGGGTTCGCCCTCGAAAGATAAGGGACCCCCTAAGATTGGCATCGCGATGAGGAGATGCCCGGCATAGGGATAGGGACATGTTCCAGGCTGGTTACAGTCCACGCTCCGGCTCCGCGCCTCTGCAGCCCCAGCCGACGCGGGCCCCAGACGACGCCCGCTGGCCTTTTCGAGATTGCCGATGCGGGTTCCACGTCGTCCTCCTCCTCCTCCTCCTCCTCCTCCTCCTCCTGGTCCTCCTGTTCCTCCTCCTCCTCCTCCGCCTCCTCCTCCTCCTCCTCCTCCTCCCTCTCCTCCTCTTTCTCCTTCTGCTTCTCCTCCTCCTGCTCCTCCTCCTCCTCCTCCTCCTCCTCCTCCTCCCGGGGCCGGCGTCTCATCCCGAGCCGTGTGCTCGACGGCCCATATCGTGGGGCTCGGCCAAGGGCCCCCGGGAGGCCGCAGCATGCGGCCGAGAGCCTCGGGCCCAGATTTCTTGCTGCGCGACGCGAGCATTCGGAGGTTGGTCGAGCTCCTACCCTGACGCGTCGATTCGCGAATTGGCCGTTTTCTCGGTTCGCGAGAGGGCGTCGCGGCCGTCATGTTTGCGGGTCCAGGTCCGTCGGTTTCGGTCCTGTCTTGGGCCGATGTCATGAAAGGGTGGTTTGCCGAAGGGAGGTTTGTCCGCCGCCGAAGCATGTTTTCGAAGGGGGAAGAACGCTATAAACATGAGCTTGCGGCGCTCCGCGCGGTTTTCGTGGATCCGCGCTGGGTTCCCCCAGCGGCGCCTCCGGCGCCGCCCCTGGCGCGCTGCGCGCGCCAGGGAGGGGGTCCACAGCATACCCAAGATTACTCCGCGCGGAGCGCCAAAAGTTTCTGTTTATGCCATTTGTTTTGCCTCTATGTTTGGGATCGGTTCCGATCCGATCTCCCGTCTCGCCTGTTTCAAGCCTGTTTCAAGCAAGTGGGGTCCCCCCTAAGAGGACGCACAGTTCCAAACAGTCGCACTAAGCAGAGGTCCAGAGCCAGACCCCCCTCCTCCCCCCCCCCGTACCGACCGGTGTCGAAACGCCGAATCAGAGAACGCTCACACATGTTCGGGGTCGGATCCGATCCGATCTCCCGCCTCGCTGCCAGCTCGATCCTGCCAGGGCCCTCGTGCAGATGGGCGCGCCCGCGGCGCCCGTGCTCGCCGAAGCCCTGGGGAGCGCCAGGGGGCCCAACGGCGGTGCCGCGGAGCGGAGGCTGCTCGGAGGGCCCGCGCCGCACTCCGCCGAGGCATCGGCGAAGTGCGGCGCGACGAAGCCCTGGGGAGCGCCAGGGGGCCCAACGACGGTGCCGCGGAGCGGATGCTGCTCGGAGGGCCGCGCCGCACTTCGCCGAGGCATCGGCGAAGTGCGGCGCGACGCTTATAGGAGGAGGGCGAGCCCCAGGGCCCCCCTCGCGTCGTGGCAGAGATCGCGGCGGGGAGCCTCTCCCTGCTCTCGGGCTCCTCCTCCTCCTCCTCCTCCTCCTCCTCCCCCTCCTCCTCCTCCTCCTCCTCCTCCTCCTCCTCCTCCTCCTCCTCCTCCTCCTCCTCCTCCTCCTCCTCCTCCTCCTCCTCCTCCTCTCTCGGGTCCCGGGCCTCGGGGCCACCAACAGAACGGCTCGGGGTGACAAGCCGGTCCCCGGGGAGGGGTCCAGACCTCTCGCCTCCTGCTGCTGCTCAAGCCACCTCCCGACGGACTGGGGGGAGTGCCGGACGGGAGAGCTCTCCTCGCGCGCATGCCCGTCTGCGGCGCGCGCGACGCGGGGAGAGATCCACGGGGGAAAGTCATCCAGAGGGTCGAAGCTCACGGACTCAGAGAGAGCCAGACCTCTGGGGGTCCAGACCTCTGGGGGTCGACGTCGTGAAGAAATCAGGACGTCGGGGGCCTTTTGGTTGAGGCAGCGGTGGTGGGCCTTCGGGGGGGCCCTCGTCGCCACGACGGGACGCAGCTCGGGAAACGAGTGCGTTTGAATCCCAGGAGGGGTCCTGGGACAGAGCTGGACTCCAGCTTTGTCCCAGTTGAGACAACTGCAGCTCAAGCAGCTCCAGCTGCTGGAGCTGCCGTTGTCTCAACTCGCCCAGCTCAGAGTTTTCCCCGTCCCGAGGCCACCGAGGCATCGCCGATGCGTCGGCGATGCGGCGCGATCTGGAGGCCTGACTTTGTCCACCCCGACGTCACCGAGGCGTCGCCAATGCATCGGCGATGATGCGCGACTCTCCGATTTCATTTACGTTCCAGCATGAACATAAGGATGAGTCATTTTTCAAGGATGCCTCCTTGCGCCCTTGCCTACCAACCCACACTGGCCCCCAGCCATGGGATTCCATCTTCGGCGCCAATTCGAGCGTCCAAGTCAGTCGCACTGTACCAGGAAGCTGGCTACAAATGAGCGACATAAAACAACGAGGTCGTTTGCGCTGACATTGGCGCGTAAGTTGTCCGCGTAAGGTCGCGCGTAAGCGCCCTCGTCTGCAGTGTGGCGTGCCGCGCCTGCGGCCCGCGTAAGCCGCCGCGTAGGGTCGCTACGTCGTCTCGCGTAAGTGTGGTTTTTGATCCTCGCTCTCACGTCGCGGCCGTCCTGGGCGAGAGCTGGATGCACATGTCGCCGCGTGTGTCTCCAGCGCTCAGCCCCTCTGTGGCAGGTGTACGCCGGCCCTCCAGGTGTGCATCCAGCGCGACGTCTCCACACACTCCACAAGCCCTGAGATCCGACGCGGCGACCAAAAGCAATTATCTTGGCGAAGGGCACAGCCATGTGCAGTTGTGAGTGCCGCAGTTGTGAGTATCTTCTTGGGTGGAGCCCTCTACGGGGCCGAAGGAAGGGGGGATCACTGGGGCCTTCGGTGGAGCTCCCGATGGGGCCACGAAGCGTGTGAGAAGTGCGCCGTTAGGGCCTTGGGTGGAGCTCCCCATAGGGCTATGAAATATAAATGGGTGCGCCGTAAGGGGCGGGGGGGACGGATGCGACAGTCGCCACTGGGACCTTAGGTGGAGCTCCCGATGGGGCCACGAAGCGTTTCAGGGGTAAGCTGTAATCGGCGGGGGGTGCGCATGCGAGCGTGGCCACTGGGGCCTCAGGTTGAGCTTCCCATTGGGCCACGAAGCGTGTCAGGGGTGCGCCGTAATGGGCTGGGGGGACGCGTGCGAACGTCGTCACTGCGGCCTTCTGTGGAGCTCTCTACGGGGCAACGAAACGTGTTAGGGTTGCGCCGTAATGGGCGGGGGGGACGCCTGCGAACGCCGCCACTGGGGCCTTAGATGGAGCTCCATTTGGGGCCACGAAACGTTTGAGGGTTGCGCCGTATTTGGCGGGGGAGCGCATGCGAACGTTGGCACTGGGGCCTTGGGTGGAGCTCCCCATGGGGCTACGAGGCTACGTAACGTGTGAGGGGTGCGCCGTAACGGGCGGGATGGACGCATTCGAGCGTCGCCACTAGGGCCTTGGGTGGAGCTCCCCATAGGGCTATGAGATATAAAGGGGTGCGCCGTAATGGGCTGGGGGGACGCATGCGACGGTCGCCACTGGGGCCTTAGGTGGAGCTCCCTATGAGGGGGAGTTTAGGGCTCTTTACAACCAGAACGTTTGCTTTACAACCATAATGGTTTCTTTCCAACCAGGAAAACCTTGCAATTCGTATCAGTTGGTCTTCTTTGCAACCAGAAGGTCTTCTTCACAACCAGAACGCAACCGAACGCCGCAGCTTTACAACGGGACCGGTCACTTGGCAACAGGATCGGCGACTTTCCAACCAGCTTAGCGCCCCCCATCTAGGGCCGCCTCACAAACGTGAGGGCGAGGAGGAGGAGGACGCCGTTGTGTTTGCATTTTCCATGCGTTTTTGGCGCCGCCTGAAGGCCCGGGGGCTGCCGAAAAAAACAGCTCGGGGCCCTGGGGCCGCGAAAAACAGCGAGGGCGACGAGGAGGAGGAGGAGGAGGAGGACGACGACGAAATTGTTTTGTTTTGTATGTTTGTTTCTCTCATTTTTTGGCGCCGTGAATCGACCCAGGAGCCGCCGAAACACACCTCTGGGCCCCAGGGCCGCCGAAAACCGCGATGGCAGTAGTAGTAGTAGTAGTACTACTACTACTACTACTACTACTACTACTACTACTACTACGACGACTACTACTACTACTACTACTACTACTACTATTACTACTACTACTACTACTACTACTACTACTACTACTACTACTACTACTACTACTGCTTTTACTACGACTACTACTACTACTACTACTACTCCTACTACTACTACTACTACTACTACTACAACTTCTACTACTACGGCTACGCCTACTACTACAACAACTACTACAACAA